CATTTACTTAAATTATTTTGGTTGTGTTTCCCTTTTTTTCCTTCTTTCCCACCCCCTCCCCCCTCCATGAAGATTCAGGTGCTTAACATATCATTTTTTTCCCTGCTGGAATTTTAGCATTGATATGAACCATGGACAAGTATATTCTGCTGCCACAAATAGTAAAGTGCTTCATTTCAACAGCTGAGGCAAGCCAAGTGATCATTAATAAAGCTTTTCTTGGTTCCTTCAGTGGTGTTGGTAGTAAAATGGTAGGTAAAAGTTAGGCTGCAAATTCAGTAAATCATGAGATTTCCCATCATTACACCCTTGTGTATTCACATTTGGATCAAGCATTTTGAGAGAAATAGGTTTCTTTTAAAAATAAAGACTTTTTGTTCTATTATTCTATGCTTCTAACTTTCGTACTTATTAGGCTGAGAATGAAAGAGAAGGTAGGGCAAGGCGGTTTGAATCTTTTTCAGATGATAGTTTGTCTACATTATAAATCCGTGTATCCACTACCAAATAGTTGGGTTTACTTAAATATGGTAATTCTTGCCCAGTGTGTCCTACCCTTAAAGAGAGAGATGGAGATTGCTGAAATTCAAAACTAATTTATCGTCAGAATTCGGTTGCCTGGCTTTATTGCCTTTTCAGAAATGTGATATTCAGGGCTTATTCTACTGTATGCACCAGTGAGTCTTCTTTGATCCTAAGACCACCACTGAAGTTATTTAGGTTCTTTGGACAAACATGATAAACTTCTTCAGATACTTTTTTTTTCCTTTGGCAGGAAGGTGTCTTGCTGCAGGTAACTAATGAAGAAGTGGTCAACCACAGAGTCTTCAAGAAATAAGAAATTCTGTACCATCTGAAAGTAGTTCTTGTTGGTGCCTTCATTTAAAAAGCACTTTTTAAGACAAAAGGGAAATGTTTTCTGATAAAACAAACTTCATTTAGTATAGGTTCTTGATATAAAACAATTACAAAATGAGTGTTGTTTGTAAAACAGTTACATCAAACTAGCTAGTGAGATAAATGTATGTTTTAAATTAGGTTTTGTTAGACAGATTAAAATTCTATTTTAAATATAAAGTTTATAAAATAAATACTTTTGTATCCAAATACGTGGTGTAATGTTTACACATACAATGTGTGAATCTTGTTCTATAAACATTCAGTTGTTTAATCATCCCCTAAATTTTTAAAGCAGTTTCACAAAGCTATGCATATTTCCATTTTTCTTTCATTAAGAAATGAGAGAAGCATTGTGGACATAATTGGCTGTCCCTAATAAAATGCTGTTCTTTAAGCATTATGTATATTCAGCGTTTGAATACTGCAATTCTATGGCTTTACCTTACATGTTTTAACATTGCTGGTGGTTTTGAAAACAGATTTTAACCACCTAGAGTGGTCCAAATTAATGGCTTATGCTGAGAACTGAGGCTCAAAATCTTAATTGGTCAACTGTTCTGTCATTTTATACGTAGTTGATATTAAAAGTACAATCTTTAAAGGGCTAAGTGTTGTAGATAGACCTTATTTTCCTGAATTAAGCCAGAATAGCAAGAGTAAAATTGACTTGCTGAAACTACAATTTTGGTTTTGATAGTGGTAACAGAGCACACAGGTAAGTCAAAATACTGTTGCCAATACAGAACTGAGCTCTTATGTATTCCAAATAATGACTGTATCCATTGACAACTATAAGCCTATTATAGTACTTCTCAAAACTAGGGAAAACAAAGTTTAACCTTGGAAGTAAGTCAAGATATAACACATGACTTCACAATACTTAATAACCACAAGGTCAAGTGACTATCACATGGGGAAAGTAGGTAATGCTTGAACAGGTTGAAATAAGCTAGCGTATAAAGATGAAGCTTTATTTGAAATAGTGCTATCTATTCAGAACAGGCAATTTTTTTGTGTCTAGTATATTGAGGTGTTTAGACAATCAGGTTTGAGGCATTGGCGTCCTTAACCCTTCACAATTTGGTATATTGGTATACTTTTATTTAACTCTTACTGTTGTGTGGTACATTACCTCAGTACTTTGCATTTTAGAGCAATAGTAACTCAAGCATCTGGGTCACTGGGAGCAACCTAGCTGTTAGAGCTCAAGGTTCCAATCTGCAAGTGAAAACTGCAAAGTCAAATACTAACAGTATTCCAAGGGGGCAAGGAAAAAAGCCACAGATGACTACTGCATTTGGTAACGACACTACAACATGGGAGGGGAAGGAATGCTGTTCTTTCATTGTAAAGCATTTCATACACTTTGATGGAACAGGTTCTTCTATAATAAAAATTTTAAAAATCTTAACTACTAGGTCATACTAAAATGTAATTTGCGGACACTTTGAGTCAGACCTTAGTTTGCAGTTAATCGAGTGGGTGTGCAGCTGCAAAAGGTAAGCATCACTTAATTCCAGAACACCTGAAACACATTTGTGACTTAATATTGGAACTAATGTTCCTAGGTGGTTCACAACATAACCCCATAAAGTTTTAAAGCCACTGGCATTGGGACTGATGGCTGGTTGGGGGAAAGGGGTCCAAGTTTTAGAGTGGTATTTAGTTAAGTGCCAAGTGACCTGGCCTTAACTTCTAAAGGGCAGTGGTCAAACAGCCCAGTCTTGAGATGCTCCAGATGGGAACTTCATTCACGGAGGTTATATGTAATATGAGAATGAGATTTCACCTGTTAAAGCATTGTGTTCACATGGTGCCTTAATATGCTAGATTTCACTTTCAGCTTGGCTTCTCACCATTTCATTGGGAATTATTTCATGCAGTCTTTCCATTGGGATGGGTTCAAAAAATGAAGATTTTGGGGGCAGGAGGTGGTGCATACTTAAATTGCATTTTAAAGGCCATACTGGAATGGCTTGATGTAGGATTTTGAGCTCATTACTAAGCACTTCAGGAAACACTTGGAGGTATTATAAAAGGCTGTTTAAAAGGAAAATCTCAACATTCTGGTGGATTATTCCCAATTTAAAGTCTCAAACTGGATCTCGCTCATAATTTGGCAGGTTGGTTTAGCTGCTGTGATTGCTGAACTAAGATGGGAGGGCAAAGTCCTGGTCTTAACGATTTGAGACAAGCTTTGGGCTAGTGTCAACACAAATCCTTGACTCAAGTCCTATGTGAGGTTTCTGTATTGTGTGTATGCTACACTGGAATGATTGATTTATGTGCCCTGAATCCAGTATGTTCCTAGGTGTGATTTGGGGGCTGGTATGGTGCATGGCAAATTAGGTAACTGAAATCGGCGTCGAAAGTGGTAAGTTCATTTTTGATCACAGTGTACCAAACATTAAGTCACGAGCATTTTTATTTCTAGCATTCTCCATTTTTCCTGCTGTTTTAAGGGTTTGATGAAAAGCATGCTGTCTGATGAGGCCAAATAAATAGTCTTGAAGCCAATAGGGTTTGGGGCCAGCAGTTACAATGGCTGCTGCTGAACTCCCATGTAGTTGACTGTGGTATGAATCCCAGACCCAGTGGCTTTAACTCACACCAGGCGCAGGTGTGTGCATGTCCAAGAGATCACAAGAGAATGGAGAAGGGATTGCTGCAGAGCCATCCCCCTTCCCTCCAGAGGGGGTGATGTCTCACTTAGTGTCTCTGGCAAGTGCACAAGCCCTGTAGCAAAAACCTTAAAAAAAAAAAAAAGTTCGTTTTACAAAAGGTACTATAGGATTTTCTGTGACGGTGCCTGGTTCATCTGAAAGTATCAGGAAGTATGGTCTAAGAGCAGTCAATACACATTTTTGAAAAATATCTGCTACCAAAACCTAGGGTTTGAAAGATGACTTGACCCAATTCAAAATGGGAAAGACTACAAAATTAGGATTATAAACACTGCCTTTCTGTAACCCAAGATATTGACACTACATCATATGGGATAAATTAACCTCAAGTACTCCACTTTCTAAAAACTTGGAAATTAAACAGGCTAACTGTACACATTAAATTTTGTTGTAAAAATTTGGCTGGGTGAAGTAAAACAATTGAGAAACTACATGACCTGTTTTGAATAAATCCAGTATTCAGACACTATAATTTCTAGGGTTAGGTTCACCTGGTTCTCCCGTCGTGTATTTTATTCAAGTTATTTTTTCAATTATTTAAAACATCTTTTGAGTGGTTTCAGTATTCCTGTTCTTTGGTTGTAAAATCTGTAAATTCACCTTTTGACTCTTACTGGTTTAGTTTTCCTGTATAGTGAGGTCTCAATATTCTTAGAGGCCATCCATTCAGACTGGCTTTACTACTGCCAGGAATCCCATGGTTTAATATACACACAAGGAGTTCTAGTTCTGAATATGCAGGTAGTTTCACTCTATCTCTGCAGTTAGGAGACACATCTGTGGCCTAAACTACCTTTGGTTGCAGGTCTTTGTCTCACTCCCATCCCCTAAGGCCTTAGTGCCCAAGTACTAATACTTTAAAGCTCTAGTTTAGAGCTTTGCCACTTCTAATAGTAGAAACTTTGATAGGGGAAAATTGTTCTGTGCTGACGGTAAATAAGCTTAAAGTTTCTGTATGAAAGGGAAAAAATTTAATTTTCGTAAGTTCAAGTATAAAATTTTCCACAGAAGGTTGGTTTATAAGTTAAATATTCATAAAAAGTATAACAGCTCTTGGGAGGCTCACTCAACTCCATTGCAAACTAAATGAAAATGTTAAAGCTATTTTGTATACGTATCTTACAATGAGAGCCCATGTTTGTTGAAGTGATCACCTCAGCAAAAGTCAGGTTTTTGTGTTGCCATAGTCTTGGATAACATTGAGTTCTGCATATAGCAGGAAAGGTGGCTTCTCCTAATTTTCCCACAAGTGTAATCTTGAAATTCTTAATGTCCATCAAAACTGTACTTAACAGAAATAAAACTCGCCATTTGGAAGTGGTAAAGGCTAACTTTGAAAGCATTTTTATCTGTAATCCAAGTAGGTTCTGAACATTACTACTTTATCCACATGATGGAATCCATCTTCAGTTTCTTTCAGTTTTTCTCTTTCAGGTTATGGAGTTTATGTTTCATTATGTTAATAGCTTTGTTACACTGGGCTTGCTCTCTCTTGAGGTTTTCTTTCTTTCTTTGTAAATTATATACATCATCTTCCAGATTCAAAATTAGGTCTAATTTGCGTTTACGGCAGTTCTGAGCAGCAACTTTATTTTTCCCTCTTCTTCTGATATCACGGATGAGCGAGACTTGCAAGTCTGTCAGATAGTACCTGGTTAACATGCTGTTGAAAGAATCAACAGGCATGCCGACAATTTCATCCACGGAAAAAGGAATATGCAGAGCTTTAGCACGTCTTTCATCCCGACTTAAGTTTTTATCCGTGTCATTAAGGTACCCACTTGTTATTTTCTGTGACTTCTCAGGCCATGGTAAAGATTCAGAAGTGGATTCCAGTGCACTTGACTGTAAGTGGTAAGTGTGGTTATGAAATACATACTGGAATGCAAGGTCCCTGTGAAAAGCAGAGTCATTCCTATGACCCATGTGACAAAGCTTAGTGGATTCTGAGTAGTAGCCTCCTACAGCTCCTTCTAAGTCATGATGGGAGGGAGATTCAAGGTCACTACTGTAACCTGTAGCACCTTCATCACACATGGAGTGAGAAGAATTAGATTTGGTGACAGAGGTGCTATTGTGACTGGAATTTAAGGAAAGGCCAGAATCAGAATCAGGTTCTTCAAAAAGCTGTGAAACTTCCATTGGGTCAAAACCCTCTTCCATTGCCAATGACATTAAATTTATCTCATCAAATATGTTTACATCAAGGTCATATAGTAGGTCTTGGCTTATTAGATTGTGCATGTGGTCATCAGCAGGTGGAAGAAATCCTGTCAGGTTAGCTCCAGGAAGCGTTTGCTCAGGACTGGTGGACTGAGGATTTAAGTGTAGAATTGGTTCTTGTGTCTGTGGTGCCCTCGCCACTGGATCTCTTCTAAGTGTATTGTTGGGACACCCCAACATAGCCTCATGAAGATTCACGTCATGACTTATGGCCTGGCTAAAATTTACATTAAAATGTACTGAAGAATTTGTGCCATCATTGCTACTGCCCAAAAGAGGGATAGCTCCTGATGAAATGCCCTGTAGAGGGAAGAAAAAAAGCACTTTTAAGTTTGCATAACCCTATTTCAAAAGCAGTTCTATTACCTAATAAAACAGTTGATACTTAAATAGCAAGTGATGTTGGTTATGAACTACTCTAGTTAAAATATAGGCAATATTATAAATAGTATGAGGCAAAATCAGAGTGTATTGGGAGAAATTGTTCTGAATATTAAAACCTTTAAGAAAACTCAGTATAAAAGCTGATCTCGTTAAGTAATACAATCTTGTAATTTACTGCTTTATGATAAGATGCAACTCATCCTAGTTGTTGGCAGTCTAAACCCACATTGTAGAGGGTCAAGAATAGCTATAGTGAAGTTATCTATGGAGGGGAGAACTTTTAAAAGACTTCTTAGCATAATCAGTGAGGATGAATGACAGAAAAAAAGCAATGTCTTAGATTGTCAGTTTATTACTTCAGTATAGGTTATGCTTTGGGGATTATTTGTAAGGAGGAATGGGATGCCTGCCTACTCGGTTAACTATCCAGAGTTCAAGTGTTTCTGTAAAGAGTGCTTAACTAATCACTTGACAGTAAATTAAATGTTAGATAAGGAATACTGTTTTAAACTGTTATGTCATACAAGTAAAAGAGTTGTGTTTATTTACAGAGATTAGCTGCAAGATACAAGTTGAGGTTCCAAGCCAAGGTTCCAGTACCTCCAATGAGTTTTCAGGCTGTGATGAAAGTAACTGAAATAAATCTTCTGTAGAGAAAGATGTATCTGTCCCATTTAGATGTCTCTGTAGGAAAACAAAAGGTGCATTTTTAAGACAGACTCAGGCAGTTGTTTGGGACTTAATCTTGAGGAATAACCAGGTTTTGTCTCCAGGCTGTACTTTTGACTTTTTTTCTTGGTTGGGAGTTTTACATTCTCTTCTTTTAATAACTTAATGTTTAACATACATAATCTCTACTTTCTTCCTAAACAAGGACGCTTAACTCCAAACTCATCCACCATTTGTGCCCTAACCATCATTATTCTTTTTTTTTTTTTGAGAGGTTTTTGGTATAGGGCACATGTGCTCACCAGAAAGAGAGAGAGAGAGCAAGAAGTCACCCCCCTCCCCGGAGTGGAGGGGGGATGGCCACGCCACAATACCTTCTCCATTTTCCTCTCGGGATCCTAGGCATGCACGCACACATGCCCAGCATGAGTTTAAGCCACCGGGTCCAGGACTCGAACTGCGGCCAACTACATGGGAGACCAGTGACAAGCCATTATGCCAACTGCTGGTCCCCCTAACCATCTTCTATGTAATTTTTGGCTAGTATTGTTGGTTCCAATTTTCTTTGGCCCTCTGTAGCCAGCTCTCTTTAATTGGGTTACAAAACTTTGTAATTTTTACAGTCAATACCTCTTTATATGTGCCTAAATATTTTACCACTCCTTATATTACTCATCATTGCTTCATCTTACAACTGCTTTTAGGGTTTAGCTTCTTACTTACTGAAATACATCCCTTTATTTACTTTTAAAAATTTTTCAGCAGGCATGTGACAGGGAAAATGGGAATGCACCCCCCAAGAGGACAACCATCCTGCAATGCAATCCCTTCTACATTCTGTTGGGATTTTGGGTATGCATCCACAGGTGCCTAGAGTTTTTGCTTTTTTTCTCCTTTAGTTTTTTGCCATAGGACATGTACACTAACAGAGATGGGGGGGTGGGGGACGTAAGAAATCACCCTCTTGTGTGGGTGGCTTGCAACAATCCCTTTTCCATTCTCTACTGGGGATTTTGGGCATGCACGCAACAAGTGCCTGGGGTGATTTTCAAGCCACAGGGTCCAGGACTCAAACCATGGTCAACCATGTGGAAGTCCACTGCCTTCACCATGACACTACCTGTTGGCCCCATGCCTGGCCTGTTTTTTCAAGCCGCCAGGTCCAGGACTCAAACAGCAATCGGCCATGTGGGATCCAGGTGCATTCATCACACAACTGACTGGCCTGAAATAACTCCTTTGATAGTTCCTTTTAGAGAGGATCTTGTGTAGTAAATTCTCTTAGCTTTTGTAACCTGGAATTAATATTTTGCCAATGTTTTTTTCCTCAGTATTTTTTGTCTTATAGCATTTATTACTATCGATAGCTTTGCTATTAGTATTTTTATAGCAAATTCTTTTTCCCCCCTCAAGTAATTTTTTTTTTTTTTTTTAATTTGCTAGAGGGCACTTGTGCTAACCAGAGGTGCCAAGAAAGCACCACTATGGGCAACGGTTATGCAGCAAACCGTTCTCCATTTCCTTCCTTTTGTGATTTTGGGCATGCATATGCATGCCTGGCGTGTTTATCCAAGCCACTCTCTTCCAATTTACTCTTTCCTTCTAATCTGCTACTCACCCCTTTCACTGAGTTTTTAATTATCTTAGAATTGCATTTAGGCAGTTTTTAAACACGTAAAAACATAGTATCACTTCTTATAAGTTTATTCATTTATTCTTATTCACTTATTCCATAAGTGAGTGAGGGAGAGAGAGAAAAGATAGCACCTCCAACAGTCTTAATGCCAACTTCAGCCAGCCTTGATCAAGGCATGCATATAACTAATGCACTCAGAGGGGTCTCCACACATGGTTCCAGTACCTTCCCAGGTGGGTTACCGTGGAAGAACACCCGTGCTTTACTACTGTGCCACCGACCCATCCCCTCCTTTGGTCTTGCCTTACAGATTTTGTTATTTGAACAATATTTATAAACAACTTGATTTTAGACTCTTTTTCAGAGAATTTTCAAATCATGACAGCTTTTGCATGACTTTATTCTAAATTATTTGTAATTTTTAAAGGGGGGGCATATCTTTGTTGGGAACTGTTTTCTGTATGGATCCCTCACATCAAGCATTAACAAGAGTTATGTCAGTTTGCATTTTTCTCTGCAAGGACTAGTGTTTTTCTTTTTAAATTTGCTATAGGGTGCATCTGTCTGCTCACAGGATGGAGGGAGGGTGAGAGAAAGTGACAAAATCACCCCCTGGGCGGTTGGCCATGCTGCAATTCCTTCTCCACTCTCCTCTCAGGATTTTGAGCATGCATGCACACACTCCTAGTGTTTTTCAAGCCGCCAGGTCCAGGACTTGAACCATGCAGTTGGCCATGTGAGATCCAGAACCTTAACCATCATGCCACCTGGTGGTGGCCCTGTCTGTTTTTCTAGGACACTAAAGATACCATTTTCTAGGTCTTTGGTTGGGTCAGGAGTCTTGATTATGATAGTAGTGTGGAATCAGAGCTCTGCAGCCTCATTGGGGTTCTGATTTCTAGAAGGTGGATAGAATTGTTCCAGTTCTTCTATCCTGGACAGGAGAGGCTTTGCGGTTGGCCATGCTGCAATTCCTTCTCCACTCTCCTCTCAGGATTTTGAGCATGCATGCACACACTCCTAGTGTTTTTCAAGCCGCCAGGTCCAGGACTTGAACCATGCAGTTGGCCATGTGAGATCCAGAACCTTAACCATCATGCCACCTGGTGGTGGCCCTGTCTGTTTTTCTAGGACACTAAAGATACCATTTTCTAGGTCTTTGGTTGGGTCAGGAGTCTTGATTATGATAGTAGTGTGGAATCAGAGCTCTGCAGCCTCATTGGGGTTCTGATTTCTAGAAGGTGGATAGAATTGTTCCAGTTCTTCTATCCTGGACAGGAGAGGCTTTGAACATTCTGAGCTTTTAATGGGAAGCTTTCACCTCCCCCAGGCAAAACCTTGAGGGCTCATCTGCTCAACCTCAGTCTCTATCGTAACATGATTCTGGTTCCTTAATGCTCTTTAGCAGCTTTAGCGTCTATTTTAAATTCTGAACTTGAGTTCCTTTATCTTGTAGCTATACTTTCCTATCTAGCTTGTGAGTTTGCAATGCATTTTAAAAGTACTATCCATTATATTTGCCTGGAATTTGTTTTTGGTCTATGCATTGGGGCCTTATATGTTAGTGTCCACATGTGCTGTGCATCGCTCCCACTCCCACTTTTTACTTTAGGATTTCCTGTTTTGAAGATTCAGACCAGTTGGACTGATCGCAACATGTGTACAGATACTTCGTTTCTTTTTCTGCCAAATACTTTAGGTTCTTTGAAGCCCTGTTTTCAGGGTTCATAATACTAATTCTGTGGATTTTACAGGACTACTAACTCAATGCTAAATTGATAAGATTTCTTCATTGTAACTTCTTAACTAGAAAATTACACATTTTACTGGATAGTGGGACTTGTTGGCCTAGTCTGTTAATAATCACACACTTGGACTTACTAGTCTTTGGCCAACCATTGACCAGAATTTGTTGATGGTCACAAGTGAGGATATATAACATCAGCACAAATCTGTCCAGGTGCCTAAACAATCCTAAATGGTGGAGTGGTGGGTAATACAATTGAGAAAAAGAAATGATATTTAAAATACAAGTTTGGGCATAAGCATTATTCTTCTTCTTAAGGTCTTCATGGCCTAGTCCTTCAAGTTAGTCAAAGATGTGTTTCATTTATTAGTATTTGTGCCTGTTCCCTTTTTTTTTTTAGCACCTAGAAGATGGAGGGCTAAGGGCTAAACCCCTACCAGCTTTGTTCTGTAGCCCTTAGGTTGGGAGGTATCCATAGGAGGTACATGTAGGCAGGAGATGGGATGATGAGAGAAGAGATAGGTTCCCTTAAAGACAACAGTGTCTGGTGAGTCTCATCACTTCCAGCATTCACTGAGCATTGTTTCGCCCCTGATTCCCTTATGTTCTAATGGTGATAATGGCTTCATGCTGTTGCTATTCCCTGGGTGCCTTCCTATTTCTTGGTCTTTCCCTTAAATCTGTCCATCTCCGTTAACTTTAAGAAAAAAAGGTAAAAAAGAAAATCCCTTCCTCTTCATTGAATTCTTAGAATCTCACCAGGGTGTGCCTTCTATTTGAGGATTTTAACTGTGGAAAGCATTTGTTTAAAGGGACAGAGTTTCATTTGGGTCAAGAATTCACTGCATTTAAAATAGACCTATCTCTAAGTGTATCCAAAATATGTGTGAACATTTAACTTTATAAGAGATAGCTCAGTGAGAAGAGTTTATCTTCAGACCACTTAACCTACATACATTGTATACTACTTCCTTAATAACCTACAATCTTTCTGATTAATGGTGGAGCTAGAAAGAAGTTACCATCCAGGTATTTTTCCAGTATTGTCACCTGAAAGACTGGAATGCTAACAATTCACTGATCTGACAACTCATTTCTGTTTTATTTCAACAAACTATGGGAATCCCTGATAAGTAGTATCTCTGTTAAAGCAGATGGCTATAAATCATCAGAGCTACTGTAAGAAATGTTCTGTGTAAGGTGTATGAGAATGCTAACTAAAACTAAACTGATTCCACCCAAGCAATGGGCAGCTACACAGTGAGCAGCCATGCCCAATCACAACACAAGCACCCTTCAGTGATTACTTTGTTTCTGGAACATTTTGTCCAATTTGATTGTTCTATGTCAAACTGTATTTTAAATTTATCTCCAAGGAAGCTTCCTACTTCATCTATATTCTCATTATAGTTAATAAATGCTTACCATGTGTCTAGCAATAAATTACTACAGTAATTCAAATACGTAGAGATAACAGTTGTTGCTTTTCTGGGAAACCAAGTCTGGGAGTATAGGTAAAGAAATAATATATACCCAGGAGAAAAATAAACGAATAGATAAGACAATCTTGAAGTATTAAATAAGTGGTAGATTGTGGTAATAACAAATATGGTTCTTCCAGTATTTTAATATAAAAGTCTTTAGCCATCGATATGGCCATAGGGTGCATATGTGTTTGGGGAAAACTGTAGCAGTGATGAAGCCATACAAAGAATACACTAACTGGGACAGTCAGTAGTGTACCTATCTACAGTGCTGGAAGCCCTAGGCCAATGATGGGTTTGGATTCTGGGTTGACCTGATAACGCAGGTTCAGGTGTGCCCAAAATCCTGACCAACTAGAGGCCTGGAAGGAGGAGATCATGATGTGATGAGACACTGTCAGGGATGCTTTATCTTGCTCTCTCATGCTTACATACTTTCTCATGAAAGAAATAAACTTAAAAAATGTCTGTGCAAGTGGTGTGGTAGTTAAGGTGCTTGGTTTGAGTCCTGGACCTGGCAGCTTGGTAATCATAGCAGGTGTGTGTATGTGTGCGCCCAAATCCCAGAAGAAGAATGGAGAAGAGGGGATTGCAGCACGGCTATCCTCTCTAGGGAGTGACTTCTCACTTTTCTTTCCTCTGTCCCTCTTCAGCAAGTGTATGCACCCTATGGCAAAACCTTAAAAAAAAAATAATAAGGAAATAAAAAATCTAGATAAATGAGCAGAGCAGGGGAGAATATCACCTGGGAAAAGGCACAGGCGGGTACCAGGTACTGCATTTTAAGTTAAGTACTAAGAACCAGCAGGTAGCATGGTGCTTGGGGCGCTAGACCCCCATATGACCAACCATGGTTTGACTCTGGACCTGGTGACTGGCTTTACTACTTTCCTTCTTTCTCGTGAGCACATGTACCCTATAGCAAATTTAAAAAGGATAATAATAATAATAATAATATAAAAAAAGTAGAGTGCTAGATTGCAAGTGAGGGTTATAAAAGGGTTGAAGCTGGAGAGGTCACAGTGTGAAAGTGGGAAGGTTTCTTGGGATGAGCCCTCTGCCCCTCCCCTTGACCTAAACAACAGCCAAAGGGCCTCAAGGGGCCCATTTAGAATTTGATGTGTTTCCTGCAGGTTGGAGACACAGTGGCTAACTGTCTCAGCTGAGAAATAGAAAAGAAGAAGAGGCTAAGCATGGGCCTCAGTTAGGGCTAAATGTTGAACTGACAAAGGGTGAAAGTGAGTTTCCTGGGCCAGATGCCACTAAATATCCAGGAAGGATTCTTTTTTTTTTTAAAGAGTTATTAATTTTAAATTATGTTTATTATCATTATTCTTCTATATTGACCAGAGAGAGACAGAAAGGGAGAGTAAGAAAGCAAGCCTCCAGGTCCAGGACTTGAACTGTGGTCGGCCACGTGGGAGTCCAGCACCTCAACCACCACTCCAGGAATAGTTGGAGGTTGGAATCACATTTTCCCTTGTCAAAAGAAGGGCAAGTGAGGGACTCCTGGCTGTAGGGATGTCCAAAGAACCTGTGAAATGAAACTACCCTCCCTAATTACAAAAGACTTCACTGTATCCCACAGTCAAGGGAAACAATGTGAGGTTGGTACAAAGTCACACCTTTCCTGAGTTTTTATCCCCCAGAGTCACAGCCCCAGAGAGCAGCCTAAGTGGCAGAGTACAACCAGCTTAGAAGAAGAAAAGTCCACACATGCCATTTTCCACTTTAGACAGGCTGTAAGGCTATATAGCACATGAGAGAGGAGAGAAGGTGAATTTTAGTTCAGAGGGGTTGTTACTGTGTGTACTTGCCAGAAAGAAAAAGAGATGGCCATGCCACAGTCCCTTCTTTGTTTTCCTCTTGAGATTTTCCGCACACACATGCATGTGCCTGATGCAGTTTTTTTTAAAGAATTATTTTATTTAGCTTTATTATTATTTTAATTTGACCAGGAAGAGAGAGAGAGAAAGCGCAAGTTGCCAGGTCTGGGACTTGAATTGAGGTTGGCCATGTGGGAGTCCAGCATCTTTAACCAGGATGCCACATGCTGGGTCTCAGAGAGACTTTTATTTCTGAGTAGAAGTCACATTACAGGATCTGCCCTAGATTTCACCCAAGACACAGGGATGAAATAGTTCCCCTAGATTAGGGTAGACTAGGCTGGAGGAGACCAGGAGTGGTAGTGTCGGCAAAGAGAACAAAGCTATTTTTTTTTTATTTCAAATCAAGTATCATTTGGCCTCAGTTCCATAGCCTACTGGTTCAGGGTTGCTAAATCTCACATGGCCAACTGTAGTTTGCATTCTGGCCCTAACATGCCGGGTGCATGTGTAATTGCCCAAAATCTTGACAGGATTGAGGAATGGAAGAGAAGAGATTATGATGTGACTATGATCCATTGGGATGGTGCTCCCCCCTCACCCCCACAAGTGAACACATACTTTGGCAATTAAAAAAACAAGCCAGCCCAGTGGAGTGGTGGTTAAGGTGATGGATCCCACATGGCCAACTGCAGGTTTGAGTTCCAGACCTGGTGGCTTGAAAAACAATCCTGGCATGCGTGTGTGTGTGTGCCCAAAATCCCAAGAGGAGAATGGAGAAGGGACTGCGGCATAGCCATCACCCCTAAGGGGATGCTTTCTTACTTTCCCTTTGTCTCTTTGGCAAGCACACAGGCCCTATAGCAAATTGGAAAAGGAAAAAAAAAATAATAACTATGTGATGTTACAACATCAGGGGTCAAAGCATGGTATGTTCCTTTTTCCAAAGATATTCCAAGGCACAGCTTGAACTCCACTTCCTGGGTAGGAGACATGCTGAAACAGGTCATGACTGAGAACCACCTGCCTTCGAGGTGGAAATGCCATGTGGTTAAAGGTCTCTGGAACCTCCAGGCCTGTCTTTGGAGCATCTGTTTGCCAGCCTTGTAGGCAGGACCTTAGCAAGGCTGAATGGAAACTAGAGTGAAAGAAGTGGCGGGAAGTACAGGATGTAGAAAGAATTCTTCAAATTCATTTTTCTGTGTACCTTTTCTCATGGCTGTAGAATGTGGTTAGATAATGAGGACCCAAGGAGATAGTCCTATTGGGTTTTACCTATAGTCTAGTCCAGAGGTATAAAATAGGCTCCTGTATGCCCAGTGCTTAAGCTTGGCCTACCAAAAACTGACTGCTTTGTGCCCAAATTGGAATTGAGTCGGAATTAAGAGTGACTTGCTGTGGCATGCTCTCCAGGATCTGGCCAGTCTGGCTGCCTCCCCAGGTGGCTGGTTGAAGATTTCTGGGTTTGGAATGACAGTCATCTCTTTATCCCTTTCCTTGGCAAACAACCTAGGAAGACATGCTAGCAAGTTCCGGGGCAGGGGGAGGGGAGAGGTGAGATGCTTGCACACACAAAATAGAAAACAACTGTACAGGCTCATTCCTTTGTAAGTCAAATGAACACTCCCACAATTTTTTAAAATATGTATTTTCAAGTCTCAGATTTGTTAGTAATAAAGCACACTTACATGCAAAATTCATTTTAAAGACAAACTGTTAACACCACACAATCTACATTAAAGCTAAAAATGGTAAGGCTGGGCTACTGCGACACGCTTACCTCATTTTCAGGTTCGGTGGTCTTTTCTGCATCCAGGTCAGATTTGGCTGCTATTTTGTTTTCTTCCTCATTATTCTGCTGCAGTGAGATTTCTTTCTTGGCCTTCACCCTCTCTGCATTTCCCTCATGCTGGGAACTGTGATCCTCACTTTCATATTTTTCTCTGTGTTCCTCAGTCTCCTATAAAAGCATATAAAGATGTGCTTTAGTAGAAATCCACATTTTATTGGGGCCACCCGGTTACATCGCTGGATTCCCATGTGGCTGACTGCAGGTCAAGCCCTAGACCTGGTGGCTTGAAACACAGAGTGCGTGCACGTGTGTGCAAGATCCTGGGAGAATGGATTGAGGTGTGGCCATTCTCCCTGGGGGGCTATATCTCCCTTTCCTTCTCTCAGACTCTGTCTCTCTCTGGGGCAAACACATGCACTCTAAGGCAAAAACCTAAAAAAAAAAAAAATCCACATTTTATCAAAGAAGCAAACAGTCTTAAAAATGACGTTATGCTTACTTTCAGTGATCATGAAAACCCACTGGCATTTCATTATTTCAGCATCAAAGAAAACCCAATTCTGAAACAAAGTTCAGTTTTAAGTCCTATCCTTAAGTACTCACTCTGAGACAGACTGCTGTAATCTCCATAATTTAAATGATATACTTTTATAAGGCCTCTGAATTTAAAATATTTGCAAATTAGATTAGATTTGGAAATCAATGTTGCCAGCAGGCAGTTTTTCAGTTCTCTGAAAATAGATCAAACAGCTAAGTTGAAAGCACATACTGATCAAATATACATAGAAAAATCTGGAATGTATTATTACAAACTATTCATTGTGGCTTTCTCTGGAAGGCAGGACTAGATAGGGAGCAGGGTGAGAGTTGACCTCACTTTACTTACTTCTGTAGCCGTTTGAATATTTTATAACAAACATGTTATTCCTTTTATAGTCAGGGAAATGACAGATGCATATTTATTTTGAAAAAACTAACATCTAAGCTTAATCTAACATCTCTAGATATTTTCAACTATGGTTATTTACTCAGATGGGTCCTTCCATCTTGCAATTTACTTTAAGAGGACTTAAGTAATTCTATGTATTCAAATAGTTACCATGTAGCATGTACTGTATAAACTGATACTTTCAATTATGATATTAAAAGATTTCTGGGTAGAATCAATTATGATATCAAAAGATTTCTGGGTAGAATCATTTTTCCTTCAACATCAAGGCGTTTCAAACTCTTTCAGAGAATCCATTTTTAATTTCTGACTTCCAGGAACATGGCACACTGATCTAACTCAAGATCGTTACCACTTCCCCATGAAACTAAACACATGATCTTAAAAAAAAAAAAAAAAAAAAAAAGAAAGAAAGAAAGGAAGAAAGAAAAAGAAAGAAAGAAAAAAACTAGAGGTCAAAGAAATGGAAATCCACAGGTGTCAGAAGCAATGAGGAAAATGAAAGCCAAGAGCAAGAAAAAGCTGATGTCCGGGTGGCCTACTTGGTTTACTTGTTTCTCTGGAGTGTACCTGTGACAGTCTTCCTTCCCTCTTGACACTGCAGGGGACTGTCTGGTTTCTAGTTTAGTCTCTCCATGTGCACACCCCTTCCCTTCACAATCTTGCTCATGCGCTTAAGATACTGCTCCTGCTCCTTCTCTCTTCTGCATCCATAGTTGCTTTCATCAGTGAACAATCCCCATCAGCCTACTGACATACACTAACACTTCCCACCTCCTTGGTCCCACACTGCTCTTCATGCTCTGTCCCATTTTTCTGCTCAATCTTTCTGCAGAATCTTCCAAAGACAGCTATCTGGGCTCAGTTCAGTGTATCCTCTCTCGAACCAATTCTAGAGATGATGTACCCACCACTAGTAAAACAGCTCATTTGGGCTTCTCCAAATCCTCTTAGAAACAGCTGCTGAGGCTAGTAGATGGCATAGTGATCATGGTTGCCGGACTCCCATATGACCAACCATGGTTCTAGGACTGATCAGGCGACTTGAAACTGATGCTGGGCGTGTGTGCGTGTGTGCCCAGGATCCCAGGAGGAGAATGGAGAAGGGATTGTGGCATGGCCATTCCCCTGGGGGATGATTTCTTGCTTTTCCTCTCACTGTCTCTTTCTCTCTCTCTCTGGTGAGCACACATGCACTAAGGCAGAAAGATCTCTTAAAAACAATGACACCAAAAAAAACAAACAAACAAACAAACAAAAAAAAACCAAAAAACCAGAAAGAAGAAATGGCTGCTTCATACAGAACCCAAGAAGGCTCAGCCCTCAGGCCCACCAAGCACTCTCTGACTCTATGGCTGCTGCTCCTTCTGTGGGTAAAGCACTGTCTACCTCACCCTTTCCTATGGTTTCCATTCAGGTCTCCCCTTAAATGCTACCACCCGTCTCTTCTTAACCACTCTATATTTAAACAAACAAACAAACAAAAACAACAACAACAACAACAAAAAACATCTCTCAGGACCAGCAGATGGTGTAATGGTTAGGTGACTAGACTCCCACATAGTTGACAGCAGTTTGAGTCCTAGACCCAGCAGCTTAAACTCACGTTGGGCGTGTGTGCATGCATGCCCAAAATCTCAAGAGAATGAGAGAGAAGGGATTGCAGTGTGATCATTCTTCTGGGATGATTTCTCTCTGTCTCTCTCTCTGTTCACCAAGCACACATGTTCTATAGCAAAAATCTCTTAAAAACCCCTCTCATATCAATTTCGATCTCTCTTATCTTGCTTTATTCCCCCTCCCCCACAGCATTTAGGCCTAATGGATGAATTATACTAAACTGCTGCCTGTCCCACCAGAATGTTAGTTTCTTGAGGGCAGGGACTCTGCTTGGCTCCTGTTCTATGCCACTGCCTGCCCCAGAGCCTGGTACACAAGAGCCCCTTAAAATAGGCATTTGTTAAATAGGTGCACCCAGACAAAACATCCCAAGACTGTGACAGGTAGCCTACTTCTGATGAATCCTTCTCTCCGGTCATTGCACAGCTGATTCCTATCCAAATTTGGAGAAGGAAAGAAAAGGTGACTGACTGGTCACCTCTCTTTATCTTGCCAAGGCAGGGTTTCTTTTGTTAAAGCTGAAGGTAATCGAACTCAAAACCAAGGATTCCTGAGGCAGCTAACTTTGGGACAGAAAAACTTGTAATCTGTAAATCATGTGATCAGGTGGGCCAGTCAGTGGCCTGGTAGCTGGATCCCACACAGCAACTACGTTGTTCGAATCCCAGTAGTTGGAGAAACATGCCATGTGTGTGGAAGTGTGCCCAGAATCCAGAAAGGAGATGTGGAGGAAAAGCAATTGTGGTATGACCATGACCCATTTGGGGGGAGGGGGTGTTTTCTTGCCCACCTCCCCTCCACCTAGTGAGTGCACATGCCCTCTGGCAAGGTTAAAAAAATAATAATAAAAAGAAGAACCATGAAGCAAGGTCCTCTTAGTTAATCACAATATGTGAGTTAATACAATTCACATGAACATGCAAACACAAGACAGTGTTACCTATGACATTACATAATTACCTATGGCATTACATAAACAATTACAGGGGGAAACCAAGTGGCTAGGATACTAGATCAAGTCCGTAAAGAAACTGATCAAAGTTCAGTCTGGGAAAGCTTTTATTGTGGGCAAAACTTTTAAAGTAAAATGGATTGGCAACAAAGATAAGTAAGATAGCCTAAAAACTCAGGGACAATGTGGCCAACAGATGGTGTAGTGGTTACATCATTGGACTCCCACGTGGCCAACCACGGTGTGAGTCCCGGATCTGGCAGCTTAAAACTCACACCAGGTGCTTATGTATCCATGCCCAAGATCCCAGGAGGAGAATGGAGAAGGGACTACAGGTGTGGCCATCCCCACTACGGGGTGATTTCTCACATTCCCTCACACTATCTTCGTTTTTTTCCCCCCCTCTCTCTCTCCTGTGAATGTAGACATCCTAAGAAAAAACCTCTTCAAAACAAAACCTCAGGGACAGAACTCAAGGTAGAGGTAGATAGCTTCTTTATAACCAGACACATACTAGAAGTCCAAATTAGGTCAAAATTACATCACAGTAGATAGTCACTCATTGAATAAAATGACTTAAAGAATCAATTAATGGGGGCCAGCAGTTAGCATAATGGCTATGTCGCTGAACTCCCATGTAGTCGACCGCGGTTCAAGTCTAGGACCTGGTGGCTTAAACTGCCGGGCGAGTGTGCGTGCATGCCCAAGATCTCGAGAGGAGAATGGAGGAGAAGGGATTGTGGCATGGCCATTCCCCCCGGGGGGTGATTTCTCGCTTTCTGTCTCTATGTCTCTCTTTCTGGCGAGCACACGTTGCTCTATACCAAACTCACTCCCCCCCAAAAAAGTCAAATGAATGATTTCATCCAAATGATGAAAATATGGAGAATTAGAAAGTTAGAAAATCATCAATGAATGTTAAAAATAGGAAGTGAAAGTTTGATGAAAAATGAAATACTCGAATACTCTCAAAATATTTTCCTGCAAATTATCAATAGTTGTCAATTACAAAAGAAAAATAACACTACAGGAAAAATCTGCAGACACCATCTTATGGTCAAATCTATCATCAAAATAGGGGAACAAACTGACATCAAGTACCTTCCTGATAGAAAAGACACAATAAAAAATCTCTGTGGTTTTCCTAAACTCAATGCAATCATAAAATAAGATCAGGGGCCATTTGATTGATACTCTGGATCAAAAAATCCAAAGCTCACGAACCAAGACTGAGGAACTTTTCCAGACTAAAGGTGAATAAAGAGACTTGGTAATTACATGCAATGTCTGAAGTTGGATTAGATGAAATTTCCAGGAGAAAAAGGAGCTATGAAGCACATTATTGAAGCAAAAGCCAAATTCTGAATATGGAGAGTAGATTAGACAATATGGGTGATTGGGGAAAACCTAGAAGAACATAGAAAAATACATTGTGACTTTTCTGAAGACCCAATAGTTTAACTGTTAAATTTTCTAATTTTGATACTTGGCTATAGAAAAGAAAATATTATTAGGAAAGATACATTAATGTGTATGGGTACTGAGGTATGCAATGGCTTCAACTCTCTAATATTTCTGACCAAAAGTAATTATATATGTATATAGAGAGTTACTAATATAGGAAAATCAAATGGGCAAAATGTAAAC